ACACTTGTCCCTCGGTCCTTAATAAAGTCATATAGCTTAGGATCCAAGCTGTGGAGTCTCCTTAGACTACCAGTCCAAAAATCTGCCAATTCTCACAAGGATCGCTGGGAACACAAAAAGACCTGACACAGGATGACAGGATTTGCGTACGAAGGCAGCATCACTGACAGAAACCAAGTCGATACGAGAAAATGGGCTACGAGGCAGACTAAACTCTAGAGTGCTGCAAGGGAAGAGAGGAAGAGCATGGCTGACTGCAGAGCTGGTCCAGGCAGAGCTTCTCCATAGCATGGGTCTCTACTGGCTCCCTTTCCTATGACACAATTTCACAATTCCCTTGGGGTTAAGAAACAAAACACCTGCTTGCTGGTTCTTTGGAAAAAACAGGTCAGAAGAATCCGGTTTCCAGTCCAGGAAAGAACGGCAACACCATAAAGCCAACAACTTTAGCTACCATTCACCCCTAAAAAGACTCTATCAACTCCAAGGGACTGCCTTCTCTGCAGAAAAGTGAGAAATGGAGAGGACAGGGCATGACGTAGAGGCAAACCTGCTTCAGTTATAGTCAAATGCTCAAACTTTTCACCTTACCAAACAGCAAGGGAGCTGAATTTGCTTCCCACATTGCAGAAATTATTCTAAATTCCACAAAAGGAATTAAGATGAAGGATGCAAATGTTTTACATAGTCTGCTTAAACATAACTCCTACTCCTTTAATGACAGGAGGCACAAAGCTTGCTTTCCTGTTGCTGATGCTTCTTTGTCACAGAAATGAGAGTTTTAAAAGCCACTGGCTCTCAGGGAGGGTTGGCAACTATTGCCCTGACACCACTCACAGGATCTGGACCCATGCCTGGAATGGTGATCCACGACGGCTCTTAAAATGCTCGTTTGTGGATTGTCCAACCTTATCTTTGAGACACTGCAGGAGAAAGGGAGGTAAATGCTAACCCTTTTCCTAACAACCCCTTCTTCAACTACCAACCTGCAATTTTTCTCCTCATCTCCATTGCTATGGACAGTTTTGGTCAGAGGAGATGCTTGTGGGGCTATTGCTGTGGGATTCAGAAACTATTTTGGGAGCAATGGCAAGTACCAGGTGTCCAGTGGTTTAGGGTCTCCTTGCTGCTTTTTAATAGCTTTCTTGGTCATCCTTTTGTAATGTAATCTAACTAATAAAAAAGTGTCTTGCCACAAGGCCTACACAACACACTGTGGATATGGAAAGCAAATGATACCCTGATTCAGAGGCTAACTTAGACCTGAGTCTCATCTATCACAAAGATTAGGATTCAAACTGCAGGAGCACAAATGAGATGTAGGTTGTTTTGTTTTCATTTTTCTTAAAAGCTTTTCATTAACATGCCTATTTCTGAAAAAATAGAGCTTCTTAAATATACACCAGTCCCTTCTCTCTCAACCCTGACTGTTTAGAAAGAGCTGTCCTTTCTCAGAGGTGACACGTTGCACCGCGCTCTGCTCCATTCTCCTCTGACATGTTCCAGTGCTCTAGTATCTGGCAGCGAAGTCCTCTGGGATGCACTGTTCTTACTTCCTTGTGAAACTGGAAGGATATTTACTTGCTTGATCATGAAAAAAAAAGGCTAAGAGGAAAGCCATGCTGCCAGGGAGCAGGCCAGCAGTACAGGGATGTATCTGTGGGGAAGCTCATTACACTGCAGGGCACTGCAGCGAAGAGTCCTGCTGTGAGGGTCATATTGTAGCCATAGCTGTGCTCAGGGCGGCGATGGGTGAGGATGGGAAAGCACTGCTCTAATACATGCACTCTCTCTTCCCTGTGTTTCACCTACCAGTGCTTGGCTGTTGGCTGTCGCTATGTGCTGCCGAGTCCTTCTTTGCTTGCCCTTCCTCCTGCAAGTGTAACAGTGGCAACCTGGAAGTGGACTGTAGTGGCTTGGGCCTCTCTTCCATCCCCTCGGACATCCCCACAAACACCAGGACCTTCCTCTTTCTCAACAACAAACTCAGCATCCTGCCGGGAGCAGTGTTTTCCAACCTCTCTGCCCTACAGAGGCTGGATCTATCCAACAACTTCTTGGACCAGCTCCCTCAGAACATCTTCAGTGACCTGGGGAACCTCACAGAGCTCCAGCTGAGGAACAACAGCATCCGGGCCTTGGACAAGGACCTGCTACAACACACGGCCCTGCTGCGCCAGCTGGATCTCTCCATCAATGGCTTGGCCCAGATACCCTCAGGCATCTTTGACGATCTGCCTGCTCTCCGCTCCCTCTCTCTCAGGTCCAACCGCCTGCAGAGCCTGGACAGGGTGACCTTCGAACCGCTAACCAGCCTGCAGCAACTCCAAGTTGGGGATAACCCCTGGGAATGTGACTGCAACCTCCGAGACTTCAAGCACTGGATGGAGTGGTTCTCCTACCGAGGTAGGTGCTCGCGCAGTGGGAGCCAAGTGTGGAAGCACTGTTTTTCCACGGGAAGGCAGACAAAGGCAGGCAGGGAAGAAGCACTGGCAGATACATCTGGCAGGTCAGGCTGACCCAAATGCCAGATCTTAGCCAAGGAGCATGAGGACCATGCTACAATGCTAAGAGACAGTTTAGTGCCACTGCACCTTCATATAGCAACACCACCAGGCTGAGAAGTCCTCTGCAGCCCCAGATCTCCTATTTCCTTATTTTGTTTCTAATCTGAAAGATCACCTTGTTTTTTTTTTTGAGAGGAAAGAACTTTCCTCAAATAACATCAAAATTTTAGGATTATGAGTTCCCCTCACTCTTTCTGCCTAAAGAGAAGAAATGCTTTTCATGCTTCAAAATAACCATCCTGTTCTCTTCCTTAAGCCAGGAGAAGTAAAAGCCAGATTTGGCTGTAAAGCATCAGGTTTGCTTTCGACAAAAGAACCATAGGAAACAGTGCCACTTAGGAAAACGCTGCAACTAATATTGGCAAAACCAAACTAAAGCTCAAATTAACAAGTGGGGCCCCAAGTCACACTGGCTATAAAACTGTCATTTCAAAACAAGCAGTTTTGGACACATTTGTATTTCCATCTTTTCCTCGAAATATGGAAGGCTGGAAAGGTATGTATCACTTAGCATGAACGCCGACGGGATGACATGCTTTCAGGAGCTGTGACTCAAAGAAAGACGGCACATTTTACAGGAATGACGATTGAAGGCCTGACCTTCTGTCGCTGGAGCCAATGAGTAGGAAAGGGTCTCAAATCATGTGGATAGCAACAGTCAGCTGTCACATCCCTGCTGATCACAGCCATGCTGCAAAGAGATTATCTATGCCTATGGCTATACTGCAGTCTGAAATATGCATTTGTGTGAGCAGAATCAAACAAGCATACAAGCGCCACTTTCCTGGGTTTTTTTTGTTTGTTTGTTTTCCTTCTTGACTCTCATATCACAGAGTCGATGGAAAGCACACAGAGTTAATTTTGCTTTTTTTTCCCCTTCCAAAGAAATTGCCCAAACTCGCTCAAGCATTTGTTTCAACATCTGTCACTATTTTCACAGAGGGGGGATGGATTAGTTGTTAGAAGATGGGACTGTATGTCTGTTGTTATTTTGAGAAGATACAGCCTGGTCCTATCTTTTTGCTTTAATTTCTCCTTTTCTAAAATGGTTCTACTGACACTTACATAACTCACTAAACAGTATGAGGCTGACTTAATAGACGGTTTCAGAGGGCTTTCATGTCTCAGCCTGAAAGATGTCTATGCAGATATCATGCACCATGAGCTCTACTGTCAAATCCAACCTAGGCAGAAGCATCCCAGCCAGCTGCCATGGTTGAAGCTGTTCCAGCTGTGGAGGGCTAAGGCATGCAAAATGTCTCCAAGTTAGGCAAAACAATAATTTTAAAGGATATCACGTGTGCTTCTGCCTGGTACCTGAAGGTGCACTCCCTCCCTCCACCTTTGACATGCACTGTGGATCTGGCAGGACACGGGGGTCTGCAGCACCTCCTGACTTCAGTGTCACCCTTGAACTCTAGAAACATCCTGCACTAGATCGTGGCTGCCTTTTGGGGATGGGAGAAGCTCTCTGAATACTCTCTCTACTCAGCCATGCATTCACACATGAGGGACTGGCTTTTATAGCCACACTGCTATAATAAAGCAGTTCCCCACTTGATAACCATAATGCTGCTATGCCTGACTTCTGTAAGGCAAATCCTTAGCAGGTGTGAACGGAGTCATAGGAACTTACCCCACCAGAGGGGGTAAGCTCTGCTGTCACTGTATCAGGATGAAGCCGTGGTTCACTCCTATTATCTCTGTTGGGACAGGTGGGAAAATTGACCAGCTGGCATGTACCCTGCCCAAGGAGCTGAAAGGGAAGGACATGCGAATGGTGCCCATGGAGATGTTTAACTACTGCTCCCAGCTGGATGATGAGAACAGCTCTACAGTGCTGGACAATACTGGCCCACCCTGCACTAAAGGAAGCCCAACTCCTTCCAAATCTAAATCGGGCCCAGAAACAGAAGTGGAGCCCAGTGTGGGATGCCCTCAAAAACAGCGATATAGGCCTGTGAGCGTGCGCCGGGCTATTGGCACTGTGATCATCGCAGGGGTGGTTTGTGGCATTGTTTGCATCATGATGGTGGTGGCAGCTGCTTACGGTTGCATCTATGCCTCCCTTATGGCCAAGTACCACCGGGAGCTGAAGAAGAGGCAGCCACTCATGGGTGACACAGAAGGTGAACATGAAGAGCAAAAACAAATCTCTTCCGTGGCATGAAACTCTTCTAGGAAGGAAGAGACAGCAATGAACAAAGGTACCTGAGAGCAGTCAAGCATGGGGTCCTCCCAAAATACATCTTCCCAGACAGACAGACAGACTGCTATTGCTCCACTCACCCAAGTAGTGCAACATGCTTCTGGGGGGTCAGGGCACCTGGCTCAACTTCTGTTCCTCTGCCCCAGGCCCATTTTGTGCCCTTTCACCCTTGGGCCCTCCCAGACAAATAAAGTAGAGTCAGACCTCGAGTGCTTACTGTGCCTCATGCCCTTGCACAGAGCTTCCCTCGCATGCCTGCTGTGGAGGCAGCTGGCACCTTCTGGGAACCTGTGTCATCTTCTCAGCTTCAGTCCCGAGTCATCCCCTGTCCTGTCAAGAGCTCTCTGCAAACTGAGAAAGCAGCTCTGTGAAAGCTTGTGTGAGGAGCAGGACACCAGAAGTGTCCGTGCCTCGCTGTTAGGGTCACTGCTATTGTGTGACAGTACGTTGCTGCCCACCCTACAAGTCAGTGTCGCCGAGAGCACATCAGAAGGGAGGGAAGGTCCCTAGGGGATGACAACAGTCAGGGGGAGATTTCCCTTCTCACTTTTAAAGGTGGAAAGATACCTGTATCACTCTAACATGCTCCCAGGGAGCACAGCATCCCTCTTCTTGCTCCTGGCTAAGTCCAAATCTGCGAGCTGACACACACACATCATTCATTACAGGCGCACAGACACAGAACCATCCTCCTGTACACACACACGCTTACTGACTCATTCTGATCCCAACACACGTGCACAGCCAGCCCCAACTCCAGACATCCAGGCTCCCCACCTATGCATGCAGAGCCACATGTGCCCATGCTGATCTGTTCTCTGCATGCAGCCACGAATACATTCAGCCACTTTACCTTAATCTCATCGTAAAAGTGCACAGCACCTTCTACTTCAGAAAAAATACATGCACCCTGCCACTGAGGAGCTAACAAAAACATCTCAGCCATAGTGCAGAGCCAGTGGAAATGGGCAGGAGAGGATGGAGAGAGGCAAAGTTATTAAGGCTACAGCATAAGTCTGTGGAAATGAGTACACAGCATGAAAAAAATAAGGTGTGTTCTTGTTATCTATTTATGTTTTCTATGATAAACAGAGAGGGTAAGGACGTGAAGCCTCCATTTGGAAATGTTTCATTGGCAGAGCAGAAGTGGGCCATCAGGGAAGACTAGGGGAGGAGGTGGCTTGCCAGCCTCGGCAGTGTAAGCCATTGCTGCGGAGTAGTGTGAGCCTAGGGGACGGTGGTGGGAGAAGACACACAAGCCAAGAGCTGGCATGGCTGGCAGAGGGGCAAGCACGGTGTATGGAGCAGGGTTATGCAGCTGTGGTGACTGAAGAGAGGGTGCACAATCCTGGAAGGTCTTGAGGTGAAGGCTGAAACCTGAACCACAGCATGGCACAGGTGGGAGAACCCAGGAAGGGGCCAACACGTTACACAGCACAGCCCCCATCCGCTCCCCTCACCATCACTGCTGTGTTCACTGCCATCCACAGCTGCACATGAGCGTGCCCACACACACAACTGCACACACTGCCACCGTCACGTAGGGTGACTTCCCCCAACCAGATTTTAAAGCCCTCAGACTGCAGTGCCTCCTATTAGTCTTAGCTCTTTCTGACCTGACAGAAAGAAAAAAAAAAAAAAAGTGAGAGGGGAAAAAAAATGAAAGGAACTCAACATAAGGACTCATTTTGTATCACTGGAAGTGGGATAAAATGCTGTCTCCAGGGGAGAGCGCACATTGCCATGGTAACCTGCTCTAACCCGTCACAGTGGGTATTCCTGGGCGAGGAAGATGACACTGAAGGTCGTGCATCCGCAGTGCCTGTGGATGGTGTGATCCCTGCCACCAGGAAACAAGCTGGCAGCCAGCCCAGCTTTGCAGGGTGTTTTGCTAGCAACCCGCATTCAGAGCCCAGCGCGCACTGCAGGTGGACCCTGCCAGGGCACGCCACCTCTTTCCCCTGCTCCAGCTGGATCCCGATGCCTTTGGATGTCTCACAGCCCTCCTGCTCATTGCTGCTGGATCCCTGTGGAAGTGATGCACGCCGGCTCCTCACCCCCTTCTGGTCCCAGACAGGTGGTTGTACTGACCCATGGGCACACAATGCCAAGTTTTTAATCAAAGCCTGGAATGGCAAAATCCCTCCTGGTCTACCCAGGGCCACCAGAGGCAAAGAGACAGGATGCTCTGGGCTGTTTTACCATGACTGCCCTTTGACACAGGGATGCTTGGGATGGAGGCGGATGTTCTTCAGGAAGCAGAAGACCAGGCTGCCCTGGAAGAAGGACTGGGAGAAGCAGTCCACCCGCAAGTGTGCGCACACATTGCACCCACACTTCCAGCACACCGCTCGTGGGGAAGAGGAAGGAGGAGGAGGGGGGCTGGCAAGATGCGAGGAGGAAGGACTCTTCCCCCATGCACTGTATAGCCACTTCAACCATCCCATCTGCTGCAACCGTAGCCCGCTCTGAAGGGCAGAACTGGTGCACTGCAGACTCCGTATGCGTGTTACTTCTGCTCCACATTCCCAGCAAGCCAGGACTAGACTGCCTGCTGGATCCAAACCTCCCCCCAAACTCCCTCTCAGGGGAACTTCTCCCTTTACCATACTGGACTCCGCAATCATACTTGAAATGGGACTTGAGTCAGAGTGGTATATTTATAGATCTATATTTTACTTGCATCAAATAATGGTGAAATATTGCACAAAACCAATGGGATCTATATATGTGTGTGTGTGTATGTGTGTGCGTGTGTGTGAGTGAGCAAGAGAGTGAGAGAGAGATTGTTTTTAAGGGGATAGACTAGAGGTAAAATGAATGGGAGGGAGGCAGGGGACAATGCAGGAGCTGGGGGGGTCGAGGGCGGAGAGTGGGGGGGGGGGGGAAGTCCTCCTTTCTCTGCACCTTCCCTGTGACCTCCTCCTGCCCTGACCAATTTTTCTTTGTTGCTAATAATATTTTCTATATCTTGTGTTGTGGGGCTGATGATGACCTTGCCCATCCTTTCCTTTTTTGTTTTCATTTATAAGGCAGAAAGTCTGGATTCATCTCAACCCTAGACAAGGGACTGCTATGTTTAGAAACCCACCCAGCAAAGGAGAAGATAGGAAAGGGGAGAAAAGAGAGTTGCTGAGAAACAGGAAGGCTGGCTGCTATGGGGAGTCCCACTGGAAAGCAAATACTGTGCTTGGAAGGACAAGGACCTGCCCTCTTTCACGCAGAGCAGAGTAACAGCGTTCACTGGGAAATGCCATCTTTATACCACCGTTTGCAAACAGGCTCTTACTGTTCCCTAGTACACCTGGAAAACGGGCTGCCCTAGTGTGACTGAGCTGCTGCACTGTCCACAGGCACTCTAGGGAACATGGTACACAGCGTGGTCAAAACCGAAGCTTTCCTGTGGGATGCTGCATACAGAATGAGACCCAGCGCTCCTTGTGTGCCCAGGCAAGGGCTTCCTCTAGTGTGTGGGGACAGGGACCCCTGTTCTCCCTGCAGGCATGGCTAGGCATCGGAGGAATCCCCCTGAACGCACCCTTTGCTTCAGGCAGGTGTACCAATGCCACAGGTAGGTGCCTGCCCTCAGGAAATGGTCTTCTGGGGCAGGCAGGTCCAACACGTGCTGGGGCGATGTAGGGGGTGGCAGGGCCACCAGAAACACCCCTTCTGCTCCCCCCGCTCCGCTTCCCCACACACCCACCTGTGGTACAGGCAGGCACATTTCTTGCAGGGAACAGATGGCACTTGTAATTTCTTTTTCTTTTCATTACTGTTTGAGGGAGAGCAACAAGATTTTCTAAAATGATTGAATGGAGGTTTCTTTGGCATGAGACAGAAAATTTTTAAAGGTATATTATATTTCTGGCTTGTTGTTACAGAAGAATAATAAAGAATGTATTTTCCTATGCTCCTTCTTGTTTAAATGAGATCTCTGATAGTAACCTTCCCTCTCTCCCCTACCCCCTGCAAAAGCAAACACTGCCGGGATACGGCCAGCCAAACAAAAAAGCCCCTTAATTCCCACATATGTGTACACTTGTCTGTACATAGTGTTTGAACTTGGAATGAACATGCCCGTATACACACACATACACACTGCATCAGTGTAAGTCCTAGGCAAGCATGTACCTGTAGTCAGGGTGAGGCTGTAGGACTAAATACACAGTCAGTGAAGGTGAGACCCTAGATCTAGAAACACACACACACACTGCTCCAGGGACACAGCCAGACAAGGGCGATTGTGTAACAAGGATAAGATACTGTGGCAATCAGCTCATTACATAAAAGCAGAAAGGGCCAAATTAATCCCTAGTGTAAGAACGCAGAAGCCAATGGAGCTATATTCAGGTCAAATTTGATTCCAAAAGCTTTTTTTTTTTTTTTTTTTTAATTAGAGCATAATGTTCAATAAAACTTACAGTAACAAATAGTGAGCTATGGGTTCCTCCACCTCCAGATTCCTGACCCTCACAAGCAAGGTTATTTTGAAATGAATGGAAATTGCTACCTAATCCTATTGCACCCCCAAGTACACAAGCTGCCACCCCTAGAGCTAAAAGAGCTCTCCACCAGCTGTTCACTGGCTAGGTCTATCACACACAGCTAAGAAGTTTAAATTCCCCACTTCTCCACTTTCAGCACTAAACATACACAATTCACCACATACTCTGCCTGTGAGAAAAATCTCATCCTGATGCGTGTGGAACCACAAAAGATGTCAAACCCCACCACAAGCAAAAACACTTGTGCCACTGGACTCACACTGCTATACTCGGCCACCCTGTTACACTCAGTCTGATCTTCAGAGAGAAACTGGGAGCAGAACCCAGATACTCTTAACCTGATAACAGCTGAGGCATTTGTTCTGCTGAAAAGGTATGTGCCACAAGAGAATCACCATTATTGTTTAACAGCATGGTGTCTATGACACATAGTTTAATCTAATTTTGCCATGTAGGTAGAGGAGTGCACACAGATACTACTAAGCAATTTATATAATACCAGAAATGTAAAGCAGAAAAAAAGCAAAGCCAACACACTCATTTGATGACTCTAGGCTTTTTCAGTTCATGAATTATCTGGGAGCAGGCTGTGATTTTCTGCAATTTGATTTTGTTTCATTTGGCAAATGTATTTGCCCTGCATACATATCTACTCACGCACACATATAACACCATATATATAAACATGTAATTATGTATATGTC